TCTGAGAAAAACGTTCCCCCATTCAGCATAGTGAACAAATTTGCGAGAACTGGAAGAGGATAATGATGCTGCTCCAAAGCTGCATTGAGACTTGCAGAAAAGTCGGTACATATAAATGATGTGCCGCTGATCTTCTTCATAACAACTGTAGGTGCTGCCCAAGCACAGTAAAAGGCAGGCGTAATAACTGGTTGTTGCTAAAAGTGATTCAGTTTTTCGTCTTCTGTTGGTAATGTTGCATACGGGAAACAGACTTAGCCCCAGGTTTCAACCGAAATGCTGCTTTCATGGCTGTACACCGACTCAATTCAGGTTGAAAAACGGCTGAAAACCAAGTAAATTTCGATCAGCTGGCGTTACATAGCATATCTCAGTAAACGTCGAATATAGGAAAGTAACTTTACATTTCAATTTTCCAAACAGGAGAAAGTAATTTTCAAATGCACTAAGAATCTTTTGTGTTGTCTGCTACAGGCTTGGGCTGCCCATTTTGATCCGACCTCTACGTGAGAGGTGACGTCTGATGCAGTATCAATTTGTAATCTAGACGAATGCCCAAAAATATTGATAGTAATGAATTGCCTCTCACCTGAGATTGAGCTTTGACAAGAAGATACAATTCTCAACGAATTGGTACTGGATCCAGGAACAGTCTTTCTTTTACTTCTGGGGCGTTTTGGCTTCCTTTTTTGACAGAAATAATCTTTATGACCCACGGCCTTACACTTCCTTCATCGACGTTGCCTAAATGAAAAGCCTCACGCATCACAGTAACGGCAAGAGGCAGGCGATTAATCTTTGTCTGTTGGTTTGAGCTGAAAAGAAAGTGGGCTGGGTATAGCAGGAGCACATTTATTCTGGTTAGATGACCGTTGCACTACACATACGTCAGAGTGACTAGATTCACTACTGTGAACCATAGTCGTGTCTCATTGTGTTGGTATTCATTGTCCATGTCAATGAGGATGAGTTTAAGATCTTGATTCATTCGAAATAGTAACCGTGTTCTTATGTCACTTAACCTTTAGGACTGCAGGCCGCAGTTGAGGACGTGGCCCTCAGCAATAGGTTCCAGACCGCACACAATGGAGAGGTAGCAACCCAGGAGAACAGTTGGAAGGGGATCAGAGGGGCAATCCCTTCAACATGTCACGAGGTTCTGGGCCACAGGAACTACCATCACAAGGATGAACGAAAAAGTAGCATTCAGCATCAGCCGAACAAAAGCATAAAAAGTCAAGACATAAGCTGAATAAACAGAAGCAAACAGGAAAGTGAGGAAGCGCATCAGAGCTGACAAACGAAAATACGTGGAAGATCTAGCAGTGACGGCGGAAAAGGCTTCAAGTGAAAGAAACTTGAGACAGTTGCACGATTCAGTAGAGAAGCTCTCCGGAAACTGTTGTAAACCAGAAAGACCAGTGAAAAGAAAGGAAGGCAAAGTAATCAGCAACTCTGAATAACAGCGAGACAGGTTGTTAGAGCGCTTTGGGGAACTCTTGAATCGATCAGCTTCACTGAACCCATCCACTATCGAAGCAGCATCCACGAACATCAATGTCGTTGTTAGCCCACCAACAATTTATGAGATCAGCATGGACATTAGATAAATGAAGAACAGTAAAGTGGTGTGCCTGGATAACGTGCCAGCGGAGGCAATGAAAGTGGTGGTAACAGCGACTGCAAAAATACTTCACATTCTTTTCAGCAAGATTTTGGATGAAGAACAAATAACAGCAGACTGAAAAGACATAAACCTGATCTCAGGAAGTGTGATGAATCATTCTGCTCTTAATACAAGACGAAGTAGCCAACAGAAAGCTGTTGTTACACAGGACAGATGATTTGCTAGACGCCAAACTTCCAGATCAGCAGCCTGGATTCTGGGATTATCGATCGTGTAATGACCAAATCACAACATTTCCGATGGTTGTGGAACAATGCATTGAACGGAACTAACAATTCTAAACCAACTTCATTGACTACGAGAAAGCATTGGAAAGCGTGGACACCACAACATTATTGAAGTTTCTTCGACACCACGGTGTCCATGATAAGATAGTCAACAGCATACGGAATTCTTACGATGGATTAAATCGCAAGATCATGCACGCTGGACAGCTGACAGACTCGTTCGAGGTGAAGACCGGTGTCAGGCAGGGTTGCCCTCCCTCACGCTTTCGCCTCCTGGGGATCAGTAGATATAAATCCGAAATTAAAACAGTCAAAGGAAACTTCGCCAATCACAAATCCTAAAGAAGATCGGTCTGTTGAGGCTAGTTTAATACTTGGTGGTACCAGTTAAATAAGGCTGTCAATGTAGAGATCCGTTAGTTAGGAACGATTTCCTATTATAAGCACCCAAAGATATTGAACTTACGAGGATATTGGGTAATGAAAACTGTTATTAAGTTGAACATAAAAATTAGCAGTGGCTCCCATTCCCAGATGCAGATCTATAAAATCAGCAAAATATCTCTCATAAGGACGTCTAATTCGATTAGTTTCAGTGAGATATCCTTTGTAAATTTCACTTCTTCTCTCAGGTCTTGTGGACCGTTACCATACAAGTTTCATGCTTAAGTATCTTTCGCCGATGAATGAAACTAAGAAATGACAAATTTCTACATGTCTTAAGCACAAATAGTATCACCCTATTCACAATGAACCTTCTGCCTCATTTATAATACTTGGTTGAAGATTCCTGACCGTGAGGAATTTACTGTCATGAGAGTAGCTTGATGTAACTGCTAGTCAGTAGAACTAACACATAATCTATTATTAATATTATCAATAATTTCAAAATATGGAGGATTCAGGTTAGCTGTAAGTTTCACATTATCTCTAAGATTGCTACATTTGATGTTTAGATATACTGGAACACAACCACACAAGAACTCTCATTTCGTTTTTTGATCTAGTACAATCTTTTGTAAACGTTTTTATCAAATTGATCTTTCTGAACTGTAATGAATAGAGCTTACTATTTTTCATTATAACCAATCCTGTTGTCAAAGGTGGTGGTGTCAAAGAAGGTTCTGTAACGTTGTCCTATCCACATTATCGAATGCTTTCTAGTAGTCATTAAAGCTGATTAAGAGTCGTGAGTTTCGGTCAAACTGCATTTCAGGGTCGCGTCCATATTTTTAGCATCATTATATTGTAATTTTTCGAGCTTTGGATGTTGAACATTTAATATAGTTGTTTGAAAACGGAAAACACACAAAATTAAACTTGACAACAATTCACAACCTGTAACGTAGACACACGTTCACTACATTTCAACTTACCATTTGATTGATTATGACAATAAACACTGAAACAACGTGATGATATTAAACGACTATGTTGCATATTGGTGGATCAGAATTGTTGATTATGTTGATTATGAGATATTTAAGAAAAAATGTTTAGACCTGACATAAATTATCGATAGTTCAAATTGACATTTAATGATCGTTAGTTGGAAGTGAGCTTTTCAATATTCAGCATCTGAATAAGGTACATTTTCATTGATTGCCTGTTCTCCCTTTATTTGTGATTCCTGCTTCTCTAATTGCGGTAACGGATATGCATATTTCTAATTTGTTTGACCATTTTTAACACACAGCTGACTATCTAGCCCGAGTCATTTGGGCCAGACCAATACGTACACCTACACGAATAGAATAGACTAACAGAGACCTATCTTTTTACGTTTGTATGAATATATGATGCACCTTCATTGTTGAGGCTTGCGATTTCATTGACTCGTAATATGGCCTCCGAGTTATCCAGATAAACAGAACGATGAATTTAACCAATCTACACTAACTGCTGAACATTACAACCAAGAAGCCACGGAGCGTTTTCTACTACTGGATACTACGGTACTCGGTTTGGACGAGACAGTCTCATGATACAGAATAGAAGCAGCTGGTAAACTTCTCTACTAATTGCGTCCTCCTGTTACAACAACTTTGATTATCTAATCAGGTAATGACAGGATAAGTCTTCTACTACGATAAATACACTTAAAATTAGGCAGATACTTGGTTGCTATTACCAGTGTGCTTAGAAGAATTATTTTCAATGGAGATCTGGGAGAAAATCAGACACAAATCAATTGCATTACAGCTGGTGATGAAGTGAAAAATATTCTACATTGATGAATAAAAACACGTTTACGTTTAGCGAAATAGTTTATGAATCATATTGAATTATTGATCACAGAAAATTACTTTACTTAAAAATCTTAGTTTTACTACAACAATGGAAGAAATAATTGACATGAAATTGTGAAATAATCACCAGTATTATGAACTCAAAAGAAACTATCAAAGTTATATAAAATATTGAGTAATCTTCTGATTCGTAGTATTTCAGCAAATAATATGTGGTTAGTGTAATCACCTGTAATTGCAAAAAAGTAAACAATTAGATTAACTTTAACAGCAGAAACATGTCATATGTCATGTGATAAAATCAAGGATATTCCTCGATGTATGCATTCTTTGTTTGAACTAATGTTCTTAGCTTCTGAACTGCACATGACTATTTAGAATTTTATGGCCTATTAAATCTGGAGTCATATCTTCAATACTTAATCATTTCTACTAACGATAGTACTGCTAGTACGTTTACTGCTGTTGGATTGGAACTGAGCATGTACAGATAAGCATGCTATATTTTCTACCGATGAAGAGTATATTATCTAACTAATTCAGAATGCCTAAACACAGCTAATGACCAGTGAGTGAACTGCATGATCGTTTGATCAATCAAGTGTTCTCAGACAATTATTTAATAGCAAGAGTCCCATCAACACCAGTTTGTTGGCGAAGGAATCAAACGAAATCGTAATCTCTTTGTTTCCAGTATCTCACTTTCAACCATTCATTTTGTGGCGTCGAAACCACCTCGTTTTCGCCTTCCAATCTATCATGATTGATTCTTATGAATGCTGAGCTCAATCAGTACAAATATTTGAAAGTTATAGTTTCAGTCTGGAGTGCGATAAATGACAATGCACAAAGTAGATAGATAGTAAAAAAGGTGGAAATTCACTTATTCATTGGAAACTTACAATAGACATAGAACTACACCAACAAACGAACGACAAAACTGAGAATGCAATCTGGAACAAATAAGTCAATATGTTTAATTTTAAATCATTTTTTGAATATTTGATTTGCATTCCTATAACATTATTCATTCACACGTATAATGAGTTCTGTGACCATGATAATAATGCAGCGTGTCAGGTCAGAGTCAAGCTAATTGAGTTTTCAAAATGTATCTCCAATTCTCAATTGTGTCAGATTTTTTAACAAATATTTCGTATAATTGTCGGTGGTACCATGAAACATCCCATGTACAACGTTCGTAAATATGAAGTGATCGCATTAAGTTGTTTCATTCGGAATCAACTAATCACTTCAAATAAACTGTTTATAGTTGAATTATGGATTTCTAACTGTTGAAAACATCTGCATTCATTATTCAGTTTGATATATTGAAATTATAATTGCAGATCAACTTACTTTAAATGAGTATGAACTGCAATTATTCCAGTAGATTATGCTTAAGATAGAAAACAAGATCCCAAGTGTTAATAGTACACAGGAAGTTGAAAATAACAGTACCTTCCATTTTCTTGCTAAACCATTAACTTTTCCACCCAATATAATAGCGGAAATTGTCAAGACGGATGGCACAACGGCAGCAATCATGTGTTCATACCATTGTCCAGGTGGAGTTAGTAATCCAACACCGATATACATAATAATCCACTGTAACGTAGACATGTAATATGTTAGTTTACGACGAATGCAGTATCGAAACAACAAGAAAACTAACTGAGGAATAATTATTCTAGCTTTTTTTTCAATTGTAATACATGGATGTTTATTGTTTATGAATTCCAGGTACTTCTCATACAAGTGTACTTTACTGGAAATTGTGAAATATTTCTCAAACGAATTCACGTATCCATTGCAAATGTGGAGGTCGGATGACCTTATTCAAGTTACAAAAATGGAGCAAGAAAGGTGATCATGATAAACCAGAAATAACTTCAATTTCAAGCACACAATTACAACCTACACATTGTTGAGCGAACGTTTGAAGATTAACCAAGCATACAGAAGTATACACAAATTTAACAGATTGAAAGTAATTGAGTTTAATACTTCTGTGTTTACTACAAATATACAAACGCTTATTCTAACAGCCTGGATTTATTTGTAAATACAGTCTTACATGATGAACCCGTACTTTTTACTCTTCACTTGTCATCTTCATTTGTCCGTCATCTATTTCATAGCTATCACTTACGCTAATACTGGTCTGACTGACTTAATATTCCCACGAATGCATATCAATATTGTTGTATAATTGAGTGAATACCGAAGTGGATCTATCAGAAAGCAGTATTTTTTTAAAATTCTATCATTCGCAACAATAGATTGTTGGTCTGAACTCATACCTCAGAATACCTGTAATCTGCATACATCCTATGAAATTGAAAACTCATTGGAAATGTACAAAATCATAAGCATCATTTGAAATTATGTTTGACTAACGGTTATCACCATAAAAACGGTATTCCATGTTGACGGAAAGTGTAACTTTTTGATAAGTATTATGATGAGGGCCAACATTAATGCAATAGTTCTGAAATGCGAAAACAAAATGTATAGTAGTATAAAGTGAAGTGAACGTTAAATATAGTACAATGCATTATTAGTTCCTTTAAATATAACGGCAACAATTGGCCAGTGATTAAGATGAGTAACTTTTTTATATGGCTATGTTCGAAAGATAGTGCGATTGGTTGACAGTTACAATACTCGGTGACTGACTGTCATAATGATCACATTTTAGTCATTTCTGTATGATAAGCACTTGCTACGGAGATGCCTTTATCGAGGTTTGGTTGAAGGATCGTGGATCAAATCGATAATCATAATTGATTAGTCAGGGTAATGCGCAAAATGATATGAACAAATTTTTTCGGGTTTCATTACTTACATTATAACAGAACCAGATATGCGACGTGAGCCACTCCAAACATTCGAGCTGAATCTATCAGGTAGAACGGTGAATTCTTAACGGACGTGTAGATCTTACATGCACAAAGATGTATTGTTACCGGCATTATTGTCATTCACTACTATCATTGCACCATATGCCCGTGTTATGATCATTGAAATATCTGCGTGGTTTAAAATCAGTAATACAACCCAGGACTAGATGTGGAAAAGATGTAGATACAATTGATCATGATAAGTAAATGCATGGATTGCATAAAAATATAAATATTTATTTCAACATTAATTTCTTCCGTATATTTTGGCAGATGTGAACCGATGAATGCGTTTCGGAGGTCAGAAAAATAATTCAACATCGATGAATAATTGAGTTTTGTAAGTAGTTACCAATCGATGACGACCGTTTACTGTGTTTAAGCTGTCTTTCCACAAATCCTTCTATCTATCTATCCGTTATTTGCAATTCTTTCTTCATTGAATCGAATTAAATTAATCGCAGTCACTCAATCAGTGCAATAATACACCGAATCAAATCATGAAATTAAATCCCAGGTGATATCGTGTTATGAAACTACGTGAACTCACATCACTGTTTCTCAGCGTTTAGTTATCACAATTTAATACAATTGCCGTAATTTATAACCACATACACATATTGATTCATAAGTGATTACTGAATCGCTGAACTTCGGATCAAATTATGATGAAAAAATCTCTGTCTAAAACAACGGATTCTATAGTTCACTTGGAAATACAGTAGATTTAATGAACAAACACATGACACTGTTCTCATTCTAGTAGGCTTATATGCTGAATAAGAGAATGTCCTCAGCAAATAGAATATCATAAATCACTAGATATGTTTGTTTACTTATTTTTTTTGATAGTCCTTCACTTTCTACACACTAAGAATTTAAAGTTGTAGATGTTTGTGTGTAGTGGTGATTAGAGTTAGTCAATACGTCAATGTGAATCTACATATCCTTTCAGTAAGGTTTAACTGTACCAGTGTGACTGTTCATCAAACCTATGATCAACATTTATGATTACTATTTAATAAATCGTAATGAGTGAACAGTTTTTTAAACTGTGTTTGCCTCTTCATGTTTTTATAAATTTTGAGAAGGTGATAAATTTCTGATATATTCAAATGAGGTCAGTTCTGTACTCATCAGAATACACACAATGATGTTGGATTATTCGCTCGGTATTTTACTTCACTAATCGTATTATTGCTCATACTCAGGTAATATTGTTATTTTATATCCTTTTTGTAGTTGAACACGAAAACAGTTGACTGAAATTACTTGCATGTATTTAACTATTACTAACTATTTGACAAAGAACAAATAATAAAGCGATGGTGACATGGAAAGCGCTTCATTGGACGAGATCAATTTTCCGTCTGCTGTACATTAGAGGATATTTGATAACCTTGTTGATTACAGTTGTCAGAGACAAGATTACTTGTAATAATATCGATTATAATGATTAACATACTTCAGGGAGGTTCACAGATCTATACGTGAACACTAAATGGACATTAATCACTCTGCTGACTCGCATGTAGTTTTAGGGTTTTCTGAAGAGTTCATGCAAATCTACAATCTTAAAAACAGCAACAAAATCTGTTTTTATTGCTGAAGTACCGAAGGAACTATGTACGCTATTAACGTGCATCAATCAATTACTTCAAAAGTGACATATAACTAATCACATTGTTATTTTAACTGATTAAAAATTCAATCAAATCAAAAGATAAAAGCGTGAACAATGAATATTTTTTAATATAGAATGTTTCTATCAATCGCTAATCTAGATAAGGTGAGATATTTGAGCGTTAGGTTAGCGTCCCTTTTCCGTAGAAAACAAACCTGCTGAAAAATAATCAGAATAAATCTGATGTACACGTAGTGAAAGGAATAATAGTCCGACTACAAATTTGATGAAATATTTAGCGGATGCCTGTGTTGTGTATGATGATGTTGTATAAATTCAAAAGCCTACTTTCAGGTGAAATGATATTCGTTTAATAAAATTCCGTCGAAATACAAGTAGGGTTTGTGCAAGATTACTACTTCTTTTATTTCTATTTGAACAACTTTCTTGAAGTAATTTAATGAATAAGAATGGGTGTGAGATCTGAATTCATTGATGAATGCGTTATTTCCTTGTATATTTGCATGTCGATTAATATTTGCGTACAACCTTGTCATGATGTGACCTTATTTCTACCGTTTTGTTTACCTGGTGTTTGTCATCAGTCATTATAGTGTTCTAATTTGAAGGCACAGTCTCGAGAAAAACCACCATATTGTGATGATGCTTAATAGCATACCACCTGTTCATCAATATTTCACGAGCATCAGAGAAGAGCAAACTTCTACACAGTAAGATTGAAATGAGGATTTCAAGCATTTCGGTTAAATGGAGATTAAATGGAAATGGGATTAATTTAGTTGCTCTGTCGTCTCCAGACGACGTGATTGATACGTTGACGTGTTAGTTATGGTTTATTGTCTCAATGAATCAAACAAACTACACTGGCTGATGCACACAATTGTTTAGATCCCAGCGTATCAGACACAGAAAATGAAAAACTTTATGATGGGGTTTCGTTATCTGACCTGGATATTTTGCTGCAATTTAAAAGAAAGCTATAACAAAATACATGAAAAATGACAATGGCAATCGAGATTTCAAGCATACTACAAAGAAAATAAAGGAAAAACATCGTCAAAGATAAACCAATCAAGATTCCAAGCCACTCACAGAATAACACTCGATCAATTATGCGGTTAACCAGTCGAAAACACGCCTAATGACAACAGAAGATCACATCCTCTAAAAAAGATTGATTTCTAACATCAGTGACGCTCCAAAACTCCAATGTTTCGCCACATTAGAGCTATCACTCAGATGAAGAAACTGAAAAAGAGTTAACATGAAACATGGCACCATTAATTAGACGGAAGAGAGTCGACAACCAACC